GGCATCCCTCAGGCACCACTATAACAAACTAATAACATTGATAAAATCACAAAAATACCCCCTCCATACCCTTCATCCAAAACACAGCAGTTGCCCGAACTTACACGTAATGACACACCCCCATTAATGAAAACCTGATCTATTATAGACTGGACAAAAAGTCCTGCACCTTCCCAAACATCAACAACACCAGCAAACATCCAACAACAACACCGCACCTCATCGTAACAATCACCATCACAGCAGCATCAACCACGCATCTCAGCAAACAGCAGCAACATCACAGCAACACCAGAAGAATAAGCAGATTAGTATAGCAGATCAGCAAACTGATTCAACACAGATTCATCACCAGTTCAGAAAACCATTTTCAAACTCAGCAACCCAACAAAATCATGTAACCAAATCAGAATTGACGCAGCAGTTTACCTCATTTACCAGAATAGTCAGAAAACAAATCAAACAAAACCAGCAACAAAACTATACAAAATGCCAGAAATCAGTTTACCATGTTGTCATCCATCAATTGTTCAAACAGCCCTCAAACTATACAATTCTTAGTAACTTTTAAGCCATCAGGTTAACAGAAGTTAAGTAAAAATTCAAACTAATTCACTGGCTGTCATGTTTACACTAGGAGAGTGAGTTATATAAAAACACTCAATTCAAGTACACCACAATATGTTTACCAAGCTAACCCTTATACCAATGCACTGGAAACAGTAAAAGTAACTAAGCATTGAGATTGTCCATACACCACAATGTTCACTGATGGCTCTCTTCACTGCTTTAGAATGTGACTGGTGCACTGAAATATGAAACAAAGTCAAATCATTTCACTCAGAACCATTAGTGGCAAATTTATTACACTCAAATCATTAAATTAGTCATGAGAAAGTCAACAAAATGCTTCTATAATGAAGGTACCAGTAAACAAGATCAGAAACATTGACCTCCTTCCCCATAACATCTGCTAGTGGGGAAAGAAAAGAAAAAATATATATATCCATCCCTACAATAAAATACCGAGTAATGCACAATTAAAATCTTGAGATTGTAAACAACTCTCTCCTTGTATTCCTTGCCACTTATTCTAGCTTCTGTAGGAAGCAGGTCTAGCTTCAATGGAGTTTGCAATCAATCGGAAGATGGTCACACGAGGGTGAGGAAGATAAGAGGAAATTTATGCACCCAACAGACTGATCTATAAAACCAAATAGACAATAAACCAGCTAGCAGTTTGATGGCATTAGGATTACAACAAATGCTAATAAATGCATTCAGGTCATAAAATATGCTTAGTATCTCACACATAGAACAATACGGTATGTGCATTATGTTGCAATATGTGATTTTGTTATGTCCACGTTCTCATGAGATTTGGTTGTTTCTCTAAGCTTCAGTCTTAATAAATTCTACACTACGAGTATCAAAAGTTAAAACAAGGAAAGAGAATCAATATAGAACTCCACAATGAAATACGGATCCCTGGGTTTATAAAAAGAAGCACTTCAGAGAGAGATTGAGAGAGACTTGGGCTTGTAAATTGTAAATTCCATTTTGATATTTAAAGTGTATAATAACTTGGGTAACACACGAGATGAATTTTATCTTAAGCCAGTTCAATAGTTCACAAACAAAAATCTTCGGATCTGTTTATGAAACAACAAGTTGTGGCAGAGGAAAACATAAAAAATTTCACTTTTTAAGACCAAATAAATCTCAAGCAAGCTAATCAAAACACAATGTGCAGCCTAAAATGGAAATAAAAGAACATAAACATACCATGGAGCTAAAAGAGAATTCAGTGAATAACTAGGAGTAGAAGAACTGAAGGTCTGCCACCTTAATCATTTTAAGCAGATTCAGATACAAGTCAACATTTATAAGTCGAGGAAAAAACAAGAAGAAATTCCACAAAGCTAACTTTGAAAAGGACGAGCAGCATACTTACAAAAACACTGTGTCTTAAATTAAGCAACAAAGAAATGAACTCACCTGCTTTGGCCACAATGATGTCAATGAATTCTGCAGCTCCATCCGTTTGGCAGACAAGTCCTTCAACCCCTCCTTTAACTTCACTTGGTGGTGTTTCTTTTCCTCTAGTGTACTCACTAGTCTATCGAGAAATCTGAAAATTAGATGCACACTACAGTCAATACTTGATATTGTCACAACTGATTAGGAATAATAAGCATGGCATCATGAAACCAAAATACTAGTAATGTGCACGACTGGAGGGAGAGGGATAATCAAGCAAACTGCAGTTACTGGGCAAAAACCATCAAGATCAGGACAGAAAACTTCTGAATCGGTCATAACAATAGACAGTTGATTCCTAACAACAACCAAAAATGCAAAGACTTATTGGGATCGTACAAAATATGCATCAATCAAATACCAAAAGATAAGTCATGTAAATATAATATAATTGTCATTTGTGAATTCTCATTTTTTATGTTATCATTTTTCAAGTTTTCAGAAACAAAAATAATAAAAAGTTCAAAAACATCCATTCTTTTCATATCATGTTTACATTAGCAGTTACGGTAACAAATCAAACAAACACAGAAGATAAAAGGTACTATCCCATTAAACAAACGCAGACAATAACAGATGGTAGCCCCTATGTTTGGAATTTTAACCATCCAAGTAGCTCAAAAAATGGCAGAAAAAAAAGACTGAAGGTCATAAGAACATAATTATGACAGAAAACTGCATGGGCTTTGCTATTATGAATTACTTTCCAGAGATAATGTCGCAGATACAATACCTTAGGAGGAGCATACCTTTGCAGAATTTCCACCTTCTTCGGATCAATAGCAGAAATTACTTCATCCGTAACGAAAGTTACATTAAAAATAAAGGTAGCAAAACAGGGAAATTATTTTCCAAGTAAAAATAACATATGCACATCATTATAACTATTTATTAAGCATGTCCCAATGGTTAAGTGATAGAGGTAGACTATTTCAAGAAGTATAAATCACATGCAGAATTTTAAATTATATTTGCAATAGAACACACACACACACAAAGTCGTAATCCAGCTAAGATAGCATCTTCCTGTTTCTGTTCTACTTTGAAATCGAGTAATTTCACAACAAATTGCCCCAAATAAGACCAGTCATCAAATATTTATATGCAAAGTTAAGTAACAGTGGAGTGCTCCACAACATGAAAAGTACCAAGATATACAATTTCCTAATCTCTTTCTTAAATGCTATCACTACTACTTATCCCACAAATTTAGTAAAGTTCAAGTAATCCCTCCCTTCTTACATACTTTGAGAAAAGACCAAACTCTTCAAGAGTGTATAAAACAATATTCCAAGCAAAACCAAGCAACTAGAGATAAAATAAATCTAAGAGATAAAGGACAAGTTCACATCATGTTGGGTTAAGAGCCCCTGAAACCATTTTTTCATATCAAATCAACCCATCTATTATCTTTTCAATTTCATTTAAAATGATAAAGAACATGGTGAGCAAGCATGCAAGCGCCTACGTGGGAGAGAGAGAATCCCCCAGTCACAATATTGTTGGGATATACTAGTATGGAAGGTGGTGTGGGTGCCTCCCTGATTGCAATAAGAGGATACTTTTGGGGGGGGGGGGGTTGCGGCTCCAACTAAAGTAGTTCCAAGTTGTTATGTACAAGTGAGATTCTCTAACAATGTTTGTATCACATGAACTCCACAAGAATTAAATTAGAGCTTCCCTTATGCAAGATTACCTAGATATTTCGGTTTGAATGATGGGAAAAAGGGGGGGGGGAGTTCAAAAGTATTCAAAGTGTTTGATTAGATTCTAGTGATACAAAGGGCTTTGAGAAGTTCCGTTGAAGAAGAATTTCACAAAGTAAGAAAAAGAAAGGGAAAGAAATGAACCATAACCATGACTGCTATCCCCATTCAAATCAACAAAAATTTCTGCAATCGTTCATTAACCAAGACAAAGCATTCATTGTATTTAAACCTCATCTTACATCAAAGGCACAAGCACAGTTATGACCAGATGGAACTCAAATTTTGAAGAAATTATTTAAGTTAATAACAGGCTGGATTAAAGACTCACAACCCAGCTCAAGTTAGAATTTAAATTAAATAGAAACTTTTAGAAAATACACTCATAAGAATACTTTTTAGTTTCAGCAAATAAACTTTTCCAGAATCCTAGACCAACACAAATAATAACTACCAACAATAGAGCAAGTAACAACACCTCATAATAAAATACTTGCTTTTAACACCAATCAACATGTAGAATTACCAAGAAACTCTCAAATTAAAAACTAGTGAGGAAAAAAATCTCTATGAAGCATTAGTTCACAGGTCACTGCATCCCGCCCCCAGTGCGGTGCCCCTGGGGAATCTACGACTACACATTTATACGGTTCTCGAGTGAGTTATGACTGCGACTGCATTATAGTGAAAACTTATTAGGATTGACTTTTATTCCTTCTTATTTTGATGTAATAAGTGATTTAACTTTAACACAAGGCAACACAAAGATGTCAAGAAGGTCAAGAAGAATGTGGCTTGAATTGATGAGGAATTAAGCAAGGGCCTATAAAACAATGGAGAATCTAGCTCTTGATAGAGCTTATAGACATAAATGGTGAATGGATTTGTGTGCACAACCCCAACAACATATACAAACTTCATTTAATTTGGGTGAATATCTAATTCTTTCATGCAAAATTTGACCCAATACCAACAGTTTCCAACGTCATTTTTCCAACTGTACCTGGAATACCAGAGAACATTCATTAATCCAGGTATTTAAAAGATGAAAATACATCAAAGTAAATGAAGGACCAAATCAAAGGGTCAACTAATAAGCTCACCAATCCTTATCAAGTGATATCTCTGAATAGCTATAGTAAATGAATTTTTACATTGTTAATAGATATAGTTTGCTTGAAATAGTTCTCAAAATTAAATTCACAATACTTTAGCGTTGCTTGATCTAAGAAAATGATGATTACTTCTCAGCAATCCTTCATGTGTTGCACTGAGTTGTGATCTCTTAGAACTACAAGAACAAAACAAAATGCCTAAAGAACACATAGAACGTAACACTGTAATGCCAATGTTCAAAGAAAAAAGAAGCTTGCCCTCTGAAACAAACTGGACTGGACCTAGACATGTCCATCTCTTACTAGATTAAGAACAAGAAAGGGCAAGACCATGGCATATGCTTAACAAGCTGACATGATAAGTTCACACACATCCTCATTTTTTATGTAACTAATTTAGTAGTCATCCAAGACATAAATACCCAATGAAAACATTTTAAAATGAAACTTAAATCATATCAGAGATACTGTAACATAAATTTTTTATATTAAAAAGAATTTTCTAGTCCCTCTACTATTTTTCAAAGTGTATTCAAGTCAACAAAAAGATTTTAAAGAAAATGTATTTGGCTGATAAATATTATCAGTATACATTTAATCAAAAGAACTGCTATTTGCTTGTTCTATGATACACTATATGTATCAAAGATATGATGAATATGTATTCTGCTATACTCTTTAAAACTTATATACACAGAAGAAAAAAAATGGTCTACGACTATCTCAAAAAATCATACGAAAGGAAACACAAATTAAGATTCTTTTTGTTTTTGTTGATGTGGCACATACCCAAAGACATGAAAACTCCTATTATTATCCTAAGATATGATAAAGATCTTCCTCAAATATTTACCTACAGTCACCAAAAATAGAAGAAGCCTCTTCAATAAATTGATGAAGCTTATGAGGAAGAACATAGAATATCTGTGTTGCTACTTCCTTTGCAGATACAATCAACCTCTCCTTCCTTGATCCAGCATGTTTGGGCAGAAATCCAACTACAGACAACCAACAATACATATGATATTAGCTACTAGCCTACCACTATCACCAAATTGTTGCCAACACTAAGGGTGTCGAATTCATGAGCAACTTACCAAATGTAAACTCGTCAGTAGCCAACCCTGAGGCAGAAAGTGCAGCAACAAAAGCAAAAGGACCAGGGATAGGAATAACAGGAATATTTGCATCCACACATAACTTAACCTACATCAAGTTTCCAAAATACATTGTTTATGTCCATATCAATTAATTAACCCATGAAGCATCCAATTAAACTGTCATCTCGACTAAAATCTGAGTTCCTTTCAAACCTTTAGAGGACACATTACAAATTAAAGTTAGCAATATTTTTGAATTTACAATTTTAAGGTCATATTATTGCAAAAAGATTATTTAAAAAACCATTAGAATGAAAATTGTGATTGTTTTTGGGATCCTACATCTTAAGAGATTTGGTTTATTCAAAAGGAGCATTACATGCTTTCAATCTATGTGAACTAGAGAAAATACCAAATTGATTGTCAGTTATCACAATATAAAATTTAGTAAACCAAAATAAAAGAAGAAAATAAATTAAAGTGTACGAGTGTGTGGAAATTACAAACAGTTGTCTTCCCCTGCTATATTTGTGCGCTATATTAGCAGACTAGGGTGACCAAATCAGTCGAACAATCAAACATAACCAAAAAAAATAAAAAAATTACATCAACAAAGAGTATAGGATTAATGTGTGCAGGAATGAAGTGTGGTAAAGTCCATGATAGCATATGGAGGTGTATATATATGCTCTAATACTGTGATGTAAACCTTACAAGCTAACAATAAGGATTCAAATGCAATGCAGTCGAGTAGAGATTGACATGACAGCCGCCATTTTTCCAAAGGAGAACATTCAGTTCTTCTCATCACAAACAAACAGAAAATTATAACATGCTCACCAATTCCATACCAAGATCACTTATGCCTGGTGTTCCTGCATCACAGATTTGGGCCACAATTTCACCTGTTGCAATCTCTTCAGAACTGCTTGTTCTCTTTGAGACTCATTGAATTTATGATAACTTAGCTGAAAATCTAAAGCTTACCATTAGAAAGAGAATAAGAATGCCAAATATCAGTTAGCGTCAAACAAAATCGATAAACCCATTCCCAGTTCAATTCCTTCCTAGATCTAGTTCAAGAACCTGGAATTCCCTTAGGGTTCTCTAATTTTAGATTCAAGAATTTTTTTTTTAATTTTTTATTTTATACAATCACAACTAAGTTAAAGGATCCTAATTTTTGTAACAGAACAACAATTGTTTTAGATTAACAAATTTAAAATATATATATATATATATATATATTGTGTTCAACCCATTAAAGAACCCAATTTCACAATACCCAATTGACATTGAACATATTTTTCCCAACTCAGATTCAAGAAGTTTATAAAAAAAAGAATAAATTCACAATCTAAAACAATACAGTCGCGTGCTTTCAAATTAATTCAAGAGCCTAGAGGAATTTTAAGGTTCTCTAATTTTACATAATTTTGGAGTTGCTCAATCAAAACCTTGATTTTTTAGTGAAAATCCCCAAATCAAAACCCTAGTTTGAATCTACAAACCTGATTGAATGGTGGAAGTGTTCTTCTTCGCGTGCGTTCGTCTCTTCCGTCTCCTCTCGGCCGTCTTCTCTCTCCACCGTTACTTCTCTTTCTTCGTTCTTTTCTTCTAGCTCAGATCTCTATCTGTGTGTATTTTCTTTGTCCATCTTCTCCTTCTCACTCGTTGTTATGCCAGTTGGGGTTTGGATTTGGGATTTGGGGTCTGATAGAGAGAGAGAGAGTGAGGGTTTTGAAGAGTTTTTGCAGAGAGATGAAAAAAAGAGAGAGGAGGGTTTGGGATTTGGGGTCTAATGGAGAGAGAGGATAGGGGTTTGAAGATTTTTTGCAGAGACATGAGGGTTCGAACCCTCTCTCTCTCCCTCTCTTCTAGTTTTATCCGATGACAGCTTTCTATCTTCCTTAACCCAATTAGAAAACCCAATTAGAAGCCAAACAATTTGATAAAAAAAAAATTCTAATATATTTTTGGTCATTGGCGCCAAATGTATCTTATTTTGGCGCTTTTTTAATTTTCAGTCGAACCATTCACAGCATAAATTATGTATCGTAAAAAGTATAATATTTTAAACGGTTGGCATTTTGTACGTAGCAAAAAGTGTAATTTTTAACAATTGACTTTTTGTGTGTCGTGGAATGTTCAATATTTTTAACGGCTGCTGTATGCATGTGGTTTATAGTTAATGTATTAACGGCATGCCATATGTATGTCATAGAAATGTTTTATTATTTACGGCTAACATTTCAAGCAGTAAAAAAATCATTGTTAGGAGTATTCATGACCTACGCAATAAACATGTCGTGATTGGGAAATTATTTACAACATGCAAAAAAAGCAAGTTGTAAAAGTGAGAAACCACGACTTACATTTATTATATGTCGTTAATGTGAAACCGTAAAAATCCAGTTTTGTTGTAGTAAAAAAAAAAAGAGGGAATTTTAAGAGGGAAATGTCCACCGCCGATCAGCAGATCACCCCAAAAAAATAAATAAAATAAAATATTCAAAACAATTTTTAGATTTGTTTTTTTTTTTAAATTTAAAAATAATTTTAGAGCAATAAAAATCAAAATTATATTTTTAAAATTTTAAAAAGTATTTATGACCTAAAAGATTAAAAAAAAATTAGATTTGTTTTTTTTTTAAAAAAATTAAAAATAATTTGAAAGCAATAAAAATCAAAATTATATTTTTAAAATTTTAAAAAGTATTTATGACCTAAAAGATAAAAATATACAAAAATAATAAGTTTTTTTTTTCACCCAATTTTTTTTTTTAGTTTTTTAGGAAAAAAATTTGAAACTAGTTTCTGAAAATAAAAACAAACATATTGAAATTGATAATCTAACCATATTCTTAGAAAAAGTTTAAATTATCTGAATTTAGTCATCTCAACTTAAGAGTATCTTTGGGCTCAATGGGTTCATTTTGTGATCTAATTCAATGATCATTTTAATTTTACAATTCAGTAACTAAAATATTTAAAACTCTTTCAAAAATTATAATAAAAAACACAAATCACTAAATTACATCATTCCACTAGTAAAACTTTTACCGACGAATAGTGTCATCGTCGCTAAATGGTTCACTCTTTGCCCACGCCAACTTGTCGTCGCCAAAAGTAAGCACACTAGTAGCAACGCTCATTGTGTTGCTAAAACATAAGCCTCGTAGGTAAAAGTTTTGAAATTTTGGCGCCAACCAAAATATTTGACACTAAAATAATGTTATGCCTTTTTAGCGACGACAACAAATTGCGTCGGTAAAAGTATACTTTTACCAACGAAATTGATCCCTGTGTCGCCAAAAATATACTTTTGGCGATGAAAAATTGACGTCGTCGCCAAAAGTAGTTGCCAAAAGTGCAATTTCTTGTAGTGTTTATTTTTTTTGTCAATCAATGTGAATGTTCACATTTCACATTATTTAAAAGTTTGAGAAATAAGTTTTGAAATATAAATATGGACATAGTTATGCTGTACTTATTGTTTGAACAATCATTTTTTGTTGCCATTAAAAAGAAACTGGTGTTACACGGTCAAAGTTTTTCAAGAGATCAGATGAAACTAAATCTCAATCACAACAGGCAGCATCAACCCAGAAAAAACTTGGCACGTTTGGTGGCAAAAGTACTGGCCATGGGCAAAATTGCGCTGCAAAGGAAGGAAGGTCAGCAGGCTTTTCCTGGGAATTAACTGAACTAAACTATTACATCATTCATGCCACAATGTTCTGTACAATTTTCAACAGGGAGTGTGTTGATGCTAAAGATACACAAAATGGGAACAAGCTGGTAGGAATTTCAACGTCACATTCTGGAGAACTAAACAAAGGCGAACCTATTCAACCAGGGAGCACAAGCAGTGTTAAAGGTCTCAACGGTGTTGGGTGAGGCTTTTCGTATTTGGAATTTTCATTCTATAGTAGCCAACGATTTTCACTTTAATTGTATTGAACTTCTGGTGCTCCAAAGTTGGATTAGACCAGTACAAGTGAATTGTTCGGTTCTTCAAGGCTAATGGTGTCTTATATAATATATGACAGGGAGCGTTTCAATGCTAATGGTGCGCTAAATGGGAGCAAATTGTTTGGTTCTTCAAGGCTACATGAGCGAGAAGTAATTAAAGGTGAATCGGTTCAGGGAAGTGAAAAGAACATAAAAAATCTTACTATTAGGTGAGGCATCTTTATGTCGGTTCACATTCTATGCCAATTTTTTTTATAATCCTGACTGCGTTATAATTCTCTAGTCTGGAATGAGATTAGATTCAAAACATGATTAGTGTCGTATTTGTCAAGTAACTTAAGTTAGATTGGATTCAGGTCTCAACTTACATTATATATATATATATATATTTATGACTCTAGGCATTGATTTTTTTGGTAGATATATTTTGGATGTTCTTGTTGATATTCATGCTGGTATATATTTATGACTCTAGGCATTGATTTTTTTGGTAGATATATTTTGGATGTTCTTGTTGATATTCATGCTGGATGTTCATCTTTTGGGTTGAATATTATATTTTATTTTTAAATGTAGCATAGTTTGGTGCTTTTGGTCATATAATCAGCTAAGAAATAATTATTTACTTCTAATTTGAGAAAATGAGCTGTTGTGGCGATTGTTCTCTAGTAAAAGTAAACAATTGTTCTCTAGTAAAAGTAAACTCAAGAAAGCCTATTTTTCTGCAGCTCTTGTTTCAATGCTTCCACCTCATCTGAGCATAGAAATAAATCTACCACACGGAACTGCACAAATCCAAGTCTTTCGGCTTTAAGCATGGTATCCGTTAACTACCGGAAATGTGTGATTTAACGACGCTTTTTTAACGGCATTTTTTTAAACGCCACATTTTTAACATTTAACGACGTTTTATAAACGTCGCATTTTAATTTAATAAAACGGTACCGTTTAATGTTTAAAAATGCCTTCAAATGTATCCCACTCTCATGCGCTTTCTCTCCCTCTTCAGACCCTCATTCTAAAATCTGAGAAACCGTTCTTCTCACTTTCACTCACTCAAATCTGAGAAACACAAGTGTATGAATCTCGCTCGCTCTCTCTAAACCCTTTAAAGTGATTTCGATTTCGAAGTTCGGTGATCCAATCTCAGAGTGATTTCGATTTCGTAGAGCAAAATAGATTTCGTAGAGCAGAATCGATTTCAATATCGATTTGGAAGATACGATTCAACCTTCTTCAGCTCGGTGATTTCGATTTCGAAGTTCTCTCTCTCTCTCTCGATTTCGAAGCTCCACCACCACCACCACCACCACCACCATCTACATCGCCTACTAAGGTGAGCACTACTGTCTAAAATCTTGATTTCGATGTCGATGTTCTCTCTCTATCTCTCAAGATCTTCATTCCTCTGATTCTTCTCCTAGGGTTTACAATCTTGAATCTCCTCCTAGGGTTTGGATTATGGTCGTGATGGAAAAATATTTTCAATTATTATCTGTTGCAATAGATTCCTTTCCAAACAACACTTGGAATGATGATGGAAATCTTTTGCCTGAAGCTAGAAGCATGCTGGATGATCTGAATCAGCTTTTTATTGCACTGGATGTGAGGTCAGATTGTGTGCCATATCATCATTTCTATCGCAACTTTACTTTTTGTTGTGCTTAAATATCTCTGTTGTTTAAATGTTGTTTTGATTACATTTCAGTCCCTTTGTTCGCGATTTGATATGTTAGCAGTGCCTTAATGCATTTCAGAGGCACAAGTTAATAAATTTTAAGGCTGATTTGCATCTGTTATTTATAGAACAAATGGAACCTCCTCTTATCTGGAGATATGGAATTTCCAAATTTTTCTGTGCTAATAATGTTCAAACTTTTTAAACAATAAATAATTTTCGAATCTCTTGTCTTTTGTATTGATAATTTTCAAACTTCGAGATATTACAGTTTCCTGTCTCTGCTCTTCTTTCCTTTTCTTTCTAGATTCTCTTTTCTCATTGTTTCTTATTCTTATTCTTTACTTCTATCTTGTTATAACACTGGCACATGTAATGTGTGTCAAAATTGCTTCTTCATTGTTTCAAATATGCTGAAAATTTTCTGTTCTGTTCTCTTCCTTGTTTTTAAGCCTCAGTGGGCGAGAACTTGAGGAGGACAATGACAATATCTCAGCAATCAGTGAACTCTTAAAGAGGTTGCAGTTAAGAAGAGCAAGGTTGGAACTTTGATTTTGTATTGCATGATGACTGTTTGTTCTTTCCTTTTCCAAAAATAGTAAATTATTTTTTAATTTGATGCATTTGTGATTTGTGAGTTCCTTGTCCAATATTTTTTATATCATGGAGATATATTGTTTTGTCAAATCTAGATACTGGACAGGAGGAAGCATGGGCTGAACTATCTAGATAAAGCTCCTCTATTGGCCTTGTATTTTGTGACAAAACAGGTAAATATTTTTTGTTCCGTTTTCAATTTTTGTTGGCTGCAATCTTTTATTTTATTTATATACTAATTATAAAATAAAATAAAATACCATATGATAGGGAGAACTGAGATCCCTCTGTACCATCTAAACCTTAAATCATTATAATAGCTCAATTTCTAACCATAAATTTTAAGTCTTGTGCTCAATTTCTATTGGTGTTGCCATAAGCCCCTCTTAGATTGTTCATAAGATTATTTAATTTGGATTAGACTGTTATCAGATTATTGGTTAAAGATCTCGATAACATAAGTTGTGGCAGCAACCAAGTCATACCCAGGACTGTTGGCGGCAATGCCAGTTGTGGACTTGGGAGGGTGATTTTGCAACTCAGGCTAGCTGAGAAAATGAGCTGGACAGCGACCATGAATCCAGGCTTTTGAGGCCTCTTTAATGCAAGGTGATTGCATTTTTTCCTTCTGCTAAAGTACTCCCCAATCCCCACACTTGTTTTATATTTCTGATTGTGTTGTTTTTACTTGTATCATTCACCAACGAGATCAATCAAATTACCAATTAAAATTACCAATTTACATTTCTAGAGCAATGTAAATCAATCAAAAGGAGGAGGACATTTCTAGAGCAATCTTGATATGGAGAGCAATCAAATTACCAATTTACTCTGCTGCCTTGGTTCCTCTCACTGTGAGTTGTTTTTTAACTCTTCGATCTTCAAAGTCATCAATTAAAATTTTGATTAACTAGTTTTGTTTTCTTTTTTAAATTCAGTATTTTCTGTTATTGGGTTATTTTTTTTCCAAATAGCTCAGTCGATTTGAAATTTCTAGAATTCGGTTTCTACAAAAACAGGTTGGAAGTGCAGCTGCTTATTTGCAGACCGGCCTGTACTCTGCTAGACGTTATTGTGTTATTGGCTTCCTCGGTTCTTATAATCACTTGTCTAAATTTAAGGTGTGATACTAAGACACCTTGATGGTATATGGAATTCAGTTTAATATGACTCGAAAATACGCAAGACAACTGTAAACATCTTCATACTAGAACTATCTTTCACTCCTTTGTTTTCTGTGTAAAATGGGCAGCAACGACGTTTATGATTTTGATACTAGAGCAGATAAGACTAAGAAAGAGTTAAGGCTCCCAACAAGTTTTCACTCTTCTATGTATGGGATATCCTTCTTGTTATGCTTTGTTTTGATTTACAAAATTATCATTCAACTAACTGTGCCACATGATCTTTAGTGTTCTTTGGAGTGCATCATACTTACCCGTCCCATGATTCTAAATCTAATCATAGCTTTGTTTCAGTTTCTCTATGCCCTAACCTTGCCCGTTGGAAAACTAGTCATCAACTATGTTGAGCAGAACCACAAGGTGAGTAGTGACATCTTAAGCTTCAATTTTTACTGTAGGATTACAAATTGGATGGTTATGAACCCTAGCTGTTACTTTTTTTATAGCTGAATTGGATTAGTTCTCTATTGTAGTATTGAGACTTCATTCTTATAGGACAAAATGAAGATCATTATGGCGAAGTATTACTGTGTGAGATTGCATGCTTTATTCGGTGCTGTTTTGGCAGCTGGACTGGTAGCAGCTAGAACCATCGCTGGAAAATATGTTGACAAGATGGTTTTTCTCTGATTTTCCACTCCATAGATTTCAAAATTTTCCTGGTGAGCATACATCTTTGAATTCTTGCTATTATGAGTATTCTGTGAAAGCAATTTTGGCTATACATCAAACACACGTGTTCAAGTTAAATTGTGTTGCCAAGTTATAGTCAATAAAAAACCTTCGTTTTTACCAGTTACTCTAGTGACTAATCTCCAAAAAATTAGGTTTACTCTGGCAAAGAAGCAAGAGCATATTAGGTAATTAAAAATCTATTGTACCTTTTACATAGTTAACAGAAATGATCTACTCTTAAGAACAATAAACATATAGATATCATGATAAATTATTCTTTTTTGGAGTGATTCTTCTGTGTGTTTTTTTGTGTAATCCTACAAGTCTCATGGCATCATTGTATCTTTTCTTTGTGTAAAAGTTCGTTGTATTCTTATTTATATTTTTGGTAGCTGATAGTTATTATAATTAGACTGTTATTATGTTCGTATGGATGTATTCTTCATGCACTGATCGGATGCCGATAAAATGATTAGCTAATTAACTATCTGACTACATTTACTTATACCCTAATCTGCTTTTAGGTCCGGATGTTGAACTTATTCTCCCGTGTTTTTGGGATGTTTAATCTATTGTAGGTTAAAAATTTCTGTTTCCCATTGTATGCGACATAAGAACTTATTCTTTGCAATAAAAACGGAAAAAGGAATTCTCTTGTTAAGACCCTATGAATCGATTAAAACCTCATATTCATACTAGAACCATGATGATTCAACAAAATCCTAAACTAAGCCCAAGAATTCCACGAATAAGAACCTTTGGATCATCACATCGCTTATTCCATGAGTATATATATATATATATATAATGACTGCAAATCTAAAGAAACACAAAAACAGCTTATCATATTGTGGAAAGTAGAAAGTGCATGGTCAATTTTGGTACAGAGAATTAAATTTTTTGTTACAGAGTTAAGTTGATTTATGAATATTTTTCATCAACTGTTTGCACATGACAAGTGCATGGTCACTTTGGTCTCTCATTGTCCTTATTTTATTGGTTTGGTCATCATGTATTTAGTTCTCAATCTCATCAAGCAATTAAAATTTGAACTCTGGTATATGAATTTATCGAATCCATTCTGTTTGGTGTGTTGAAGACATCAATCTGTATTATGTTCTTTCAGGCTAATGACGATTTAAAAAAGGAAAGGCAACAATTTCTCACTCAGTTCTTCTCACCCATCTTTCTAAAGATTATGATTTCTATCAATTGTTTACTTCGGCAAGGCTAACCTCCAGCTACTAGTTAGTTGATCTATGTATCATGACCATGGTTGTTAGAATCTTACGATTCACAATTCTATTCATACGATTTGATATGACTTTTAAGCAAAATGATTCGATTCATACAGTTGAATTGAATCTTAAATTAAGTGAATCTTACAATTCAATTGTGATTCACTGCTACTCAATTCTGTTTGTAAAATGCATGGAACAACATCTTTTTCACCAAAAAAAAGAGATTAACTAATTATATTGATATACGTGATTTATATGTGTACATATATATATTTTTTGATAAATATATGTATATTTATATATTATGCTAGATAAAGTGAATCTTAAGATTCATGATTTACTATTTTAGCAAAGTGATTCACGATTCACAATTTGACAACAATGATCATGACTATTTTACAGGCATTTTCCATTACTTTCTTTGGTGAATGGGGTGACAAGAGTCAGGTAACCATGAGAACATTTATGTGTATATTTCACATGTAACTACCACTGTTGCTTGCTATTTTACACTGTGCATATACCTTTTCAGATAGCTACCATCGGCTTGGCCGCAGATGAGAACCCACTTGGTGTTGTCCTTGGTGGAATCTTGTAAGTCTACAATTCTCTCCGCTTATATACGAGTTCTTTTGGTTCTTAGTTTTTTTTTTCTTTGATAAATTTATTTTTCCTTGTGACGAAATTTGTCGTATCAAGGCAAAAAAAAGAAAGAAAAGAACACTGCAAATTTGAAAACACACTCTCTCTCGTGCACAGTTGTAGACCAGCTACACCCATCACCGCACTAGCCCACATGCACAGATACACATCTACCCTCTTGCCCACATAGGTTGGTGATTAATGATGCCAGCACAGTATATTGGACCCTTTGGATCTTTCTTGAATTGATGATTGTTACTTAAAAGATTGACAGGACCTTTACAGCCACAAATTTCTTGGTTGCATGAAACCCTAAAACTGGCGGCAAACATATGTTAGCACCCTCCTTTTTTCACTTGAGCGAAAAATCATACTTGGGTTTTCAATTTCACCAGGAATGTGTGACCTCTCTTTGCACTAGTTCTGACTTAACAATGTCTCTCACTAATTTTGTTAACATTACAATCGTGAGAAAATATCTGTGATACTTTTTAGAGTTAAGGTAATAAAACGACATTTAATTTTTATTATGCTGGACTGATTATGTTTTGCCTTTAACAGAGGACAAGCATTTTGCACTACTGCTGCTGTCCTGGAAGAAAAGAGCTTGGCATCTCAGATATCTGAAAAAATTATAATTAACAAAATTTTCATTTTTGTTGTATCACATTCGATTGTTAAATTAGCTGTAACCATGTAGTCTTGATTCCGATGCAGGTTGCACTCTCAGGTTGCACTTTCTCTACTCTTTAGAATTTGATAAGATAGTATTGTCTTGAATCATGTAATTTGAGAAGTGACAGAATGGTGTTTTTGAATAGTTGGATTTCAGATGAAGTTGATCTTTGCTTATCAAAAAGACAAAAAGAAGAGATTGAAAGACATTAGATTTGAAAAATTAAATCTCACAGAAATAGCACAATTTCAACAACCCAAAAAAAAAAAAAAACTACAGCGGTGTTTTCAAACGCCACTATAATATAGTGTAAACAATATAGTGTAAACGGTTATATTTTTAAATAGAAAAGAGCTATAACGGCGTTTTTATAACGTTGCTAGATGCGGAGGGACGTCATTGTAGTGTTATGTAGCACATTTAGCGGCGTTTTAACAAGCGCCGCCTATACTTATATAGCAATGTTTTTAAAGCGCCATAAAGCTATAGCGACGGCCACATTTTTGGCGTTTGGTACTAAACGTCACAAAAAGAATTAGCGGCGTTTTTGATAGCTATGGAGGCGTTTTTTAAACGTCTTTAAAAGTATAATTTTCAGCTGTGTATGAAGTCAAATGATGTTTGTGGTGAAGCGAATAAAGTTTCTCCTCCTAAAGCTGGTAGAAGTATACTTGATCTCTCTAGCTTGAGGATTTCTAGGTAATATGTTAATTTTGCGTCTTCTGTTTTTGCCTCTTTATCTGTGGTAAATGGGTAATATTGTCACTGATTTTTTGAAAATCACTTCTCCTATCAAAGGACCATAGGAGCAAACAAATATCCATCACAATCTTCAATTCAGAAAGAAATTAAATCCTTAAGAAACCCAGAGCAAAGCATGTTCCATGATGGAACTACAAGGAAGCACAGCATCCAAGATGGCCCATTCTGTTTGCACAGAGAAGCAAACCCCATCCACCCCATGTCTGAAGCGGAAAAAGTTGTTATTCTTTCTCTTTCTCTTTTATTTTATTTTTAATTTAAATTTTTTTGTGTTCTTTCCCAAATGAAGAGAAATTTGAGCATTACAGAGAAATTTGGGGCAGTATAACACATATGATATTATGTCAGAATTATATTGATACCTTATCAATGTTATAACTTTATATGATGCAGGGATTAAATGCAGATATGCTGACCTTAAATCCATCAAAACGTCTTGCACCATCAACTACCGAAAGCTGGCCCTATCCTATCATATTATTGTCTATTTATCTGGTCAAATTTAAAATTTTTAGGTTGTTTCCTCTATTTACACATGTTTTTCTCTGGAATTTAAAAGTGTTCGAGGAAGTTCAGAAAAAGTTGTTGTCAAAGAGGTAGATTTCATCCTTTTATTTTAATTTTTTAGGCATGTTAATGTAAGAGGGTTAAATAAGGATTTGTTGAAACATTGAAACAACTGAAGTCTGATAATCAGGGAATTATAACTGATGTCCAATGATTTTTTATTAATGACTAGGTTTGCGGCCATGCGAATCGCAAAACCTTTACTCTGGATATTCCTCAGGAGGTGAACATGACAACTAGAAATCCCTTTTGTAATGGAAAATTATGTCACTGTTGAAAAGGCCGAAGCATATACAAAGGAGCTTGAAGATGTAAGCATGAACTTTCAAATGACTTGAAATTCTGAACAATCATAAAACTTATGGACCAGGACTTGTTTGTTTGTAGAGAAAATTACCAAAATCTACATACTTGATCCCCAGATGTGGGGTTGAAAAATTAAAAACACTTGTCATTATGGAGATGATCTGTTGTTTCTGCAGATTTGCAACATGCTGAGAAAGAAACACGAGGAGGCAAAGGAAATATTAGTTCGAGGTCTTGTGAACAACAATAATCTGCTGATGCTCAACCATCCGATTTATGAAGAGAAAATATCCTTCCGACTGTTTTCGCTATTACATTTTCCTTCTTTTCTTTGGGGGGCATAATTTGTGACATAAAACTATAGCTGTTTGCTCCTTTACCACTGAAATCATCCGTGAAGTTCAGAAATTTGCTGCTCAGCTAATGTCCACACAGACATGAGGATCATTTTGCAATTCTCCAAGGTAAGTTCTCTTTCGAATGCCTGATTTTGTATTTCACTATATCCATTTGGTTTCAGTTGATTGCCATGCTACATTGGTTCCAGAGACAACTATTTGTAATGTGGTATCTCATGTATCGGGACTCTTTAATGCTCGAAACTACTGCTGATTTTTGTATGTGCTGTTATTATGTTTGAGATACATGAAGTCCATGTAAGCTTGACCATGAACAACTAACTACATATTCTCTAATGAATGAATCTCTCGAGTTTGTTATGACAACTTAAACTTGAATGAGATTTTCTAGCTGGCGAAACATAGCCAGGCCAGTATCGTTCCTTCTTGGGTTGGGATTGAGAACTTGTGGGGATTGTGGACCCATCACAAGTTCTATTTCAATAATTCAAATCGTTTATTTTTTTTAGGATTTTTTTATGTATATCATTTATGGAAAATAAATTTAAGTCATTTAAATAATCATAACATTTTCATTTTACGATTTGTCTAAAGAAAATGAATGATCTATTTTCAAAACATATTTGTCGTCAATTTTTTGAAGACAAACATAATAAAATAAAAATGTTATGATTAATGTTTGATCATTGATTTTTTCAAAACTATATTGCTCTCCCCCAACCTAAAAAAAAAAAAGTCAGGTCAAATTCAAAATACTATTTGAAGGAATTTCATCAGAAAAAAAAAACCCATCAAATTTTAATATAAATTTTTTTAAGAGACTTGCTCTAATAGTGTATATATTATTTTTTAGTGTAATTTATTTTTAGGGTATGATTTGATTGTGTGTATCTAATAATATATATTTGCAATTTCATTAAATTCAGTAATGTTATACAAATAAAAAATTTATACATAATGATGTGATTTCATATTAAAACAAAATACTATTAAAGATAAATTTATTTACAATAATGATAACGTTATCGTTATTGTCAATTTTTTTTGTATGAATTTTATGCATAAATATAATTTTTTAATTGGGTAGGGTATACATTGGTACTCAATGGCAAAAAATCATTTCAATGCAAATTATAAAATCCAAACAGGGTTACCTCCTAGCCTTGTTGAATTTTCAAGTCCTCTCACAAGTGTTCAAACTTGAGAGTAAAACCCAACATTACCCACTTTCCGAATTTTAAAACCTCCCTCCTTAACCAAATTCACCGCCCAAAAAGCGCGCTATTTTTTTTCCTATTCGAAGCTATCTCTGACATTTCAGAATTCAAAACCTAAAAGCACAAACAAAAAAACAAATTGGGAATTTTCCGCCTCTCCCCTGAAAATGAAAATTGAAAACACCCTCCAAAACAAAAAAAAAAAAAAACAAATACAACTTCAAATTCAACTCTCTCCCAAATCCCAATTCCTTAATCTCCCCTCCAAAACAACCCTACAAAATACCTCTTCTTCCCCCCCTCCATTGCACCTCTCTCTCTCTCTCTCTCTCTCTCTCTCTCTCTCTCTCTCTCTCTCTACAAACACATACACAATCAGTCAGTAACCAGCAATGGCAATGCTGCGTGTTTGTGAAAACAACAAAGAGAACATCCCACGTACCATGTCAAAGCAACCCAATAAAATTGGAGCAGTTTCCACAATTCCAACCAAGAAAAAAAGAGCCACAACCAGAACCAGAATTCCTCTACAAGACATCACCAACCTCTTTTATTCAGTTCCAATTCCAAACAGCGCAGCTCTTTCTCTTTCTTCCCACATTTTGGTCTCCAATGCGAAGCACCGGAAGAGGAGAGCTGAGATTGACTCTGACCTCTTCTCAATGCAGAACAGCACAGCTCTTGTTTCTCTAAGGAAATGTTTTAGATAGTCCACAAATTGGTTTTCATTTATCATTCATTGTATCCTTTTTTTCTTTTCTTTTTTTTCATTTTCATTTTCTTTCGGGGTTTTTGATTGAGTAAACATTAATTGGGTGTATTCCCTTCAAATCAATATCTATATATATATATATATACACACAGACCATTCAAAGGGTAGCTTGGTGATTTTTATGGGCTCTTTGTAACTATGGTTCAGTGGGATTGGGATAAAAATTTGTGGCTAAAATTTTTTTAATTGGCTTGAGAGTGTTTAAAAATAAGATATAAAATTTTAAGTTGGAATCATTCTAAAGGGTGATTGTTAGTTTGAGTAATTTTAAGAATAAGTTGGTTCAGATATTTAATCATGAAAAAAAAAAAGAATCTCTTATGTGATATGAAGGAGCAATTATTCATTACTCCATAGGCATTGATGTGGTAATGTCACAAATCAATCCAAGCCAATATTACATGGGTTATGAAATAATTTTTTCATACGAAGATGTGGGGCTTAATATTGGCTTAATGATATTATTAATTTTATAATTGAAATGCGTTTCACGGGTCACACAATTGTCATTGCTGGCTAAAATATATCTTGAGCTTGGTACAATTGATGGCCAAATATGAGCACTAAAAACCCAATTCCAATTTGAAATTTTTTAATATATATAAGTTTATAGACAGAGATACATAGACAATGCGTGACAAAAATAAAGACCATTATATAATTAAGCAAACAAATTTATCTCAACAAGATTTTAACATAATTTGAATTTAGTCAAAATGTGGCTGCTTATGTGAGTTTCCTCAGGCCAAGCTTGTTTATTGATATGAGATAATTATGTTAGCGTATTAAGGGTTTTTTAAAAAACACATAAATAAGTTGGTTATTGGTTTATTGATTTATTTTAGTCATATTATGGCCAAGTTTGACATATTGCAAAAAAGTTAAAAAGTTAAAAAGTTATTTAAAAAGTTAAAAAGTTAACACTATTCATCAAAAGTCAACAATTACGGCTGCACAACTCCCAATTCTAATTTTTCCCTACAAATCAATTTTTATAATTTTTTATTACACATTTTTCCATAAAAAGTCACAAAGTTAACCCAAACATTCATATTTTTTTCCTCAATTTTTTAGTCCAAAAAGACAAAAAGTACACTTATTTATGACACCCCAAACAATCCCTATCTTCTTTTTTTTTTTGTATTTTTTTTTTTTGTAATAAACAAAAAAACCCAAACTTATAAAGTAGCTTATGAGTGAGTATTTTAAAATTATTAAATAATTAATAGAAAGTAGCATTTTTGCTATGGATATGAAAACTTTAAAATGTGTTGTAATGGTTTGATCAATCAAGAGAAAATCCAAAGCTAGATTTAAATTTCACATTTGATGAGAAGTATGCACTAAAATTCGTATGTCAAGGAAGTTAAACTAATTACGATTAGTAGAAACTAAAAGGATCAAAGCAATTAACAAAAATGCAACAATCAAAAAGGAGAAAACAATAAAATCATAGATTCATAAAATGTTAAAAAGATACATATAAAATATGATAGACTGAGAGACATGTTTAACTGTTTTAAAGTTACGTTTTCTCTTATTATGGAAGTGTTGGCGATGATGATAATAGTTTGGTGGTGTTTGACAAGTGATTTTAGGGTTAAAATAGCCACAAAAAATAAAATAAGCTATTTTAGTCATAACAAACAAAACATCACATCCAATCCATAATCATTATACTCTTCTCTCACAAAAAAATTAAAAAAATCAAAAAGTCAAAAAACTCTTTCTAAACTAAGCTTTTTAACTCAGGCTAAAATAATCAAAAAAGTTAAAAAATTAAAAAACCAACCCACTTCCAAAATGAAAACTTTAAAGATTAAATACAATTTATTTATAATTCTCCCTTCTAATTGTAAACTAAAAACACAGAATATGCAGCGGATAAAATAATCAGATCATACTTTCTTCACTGATAAAACCTTCTTGGATAAATCACGTGCTTCCAGGGAACTTCTTGATGAACCAACCCAGCAGTGGAGTGATATCACAGATTGAATATCACCCACACAAACCACAGTGTCAAAGACTTGATCGTTGTTTTTGTGGGAGAGAGTCAGTATATGGGTAGAAACAGACTATACGTTGTTTCTCACTTGGATTACCCATAACCATATATCAGATATATAATATATTATAATATCTATCCATATCAGTTAAAACTGATAACATCTGTATCTTGAGTGGTTATCCTAAATAGGTTTGAATTCAAATTCAAAACCTATTTGGATAAGGATCAAATTTAAATTTAAATGGTCATGCCACATGGGCGCCCATTACTAACATCTCCCACTCGCACATGAGTTGGCATGACACTGCCACATCTCTATCTCAATCTCCCCAAAAACGAACAATCTCATACTAGCCAATGCACCGTGCGACCGCTGAGAACACCTGCAAGTGGGAGCTCTATACTAGAAACTCAACATGAGTCAGCATAGAGACATCAACCCAAAAAGAACAGAAATAGTGTCTCATGTACCCAGACCCATCTAGCTACATCAGTCCAAAAACATCTCTAATCCCTCAAAGAGCATGTTTGACTCTCCTAGGTCCCGCATTATATTCACACCCAATCAGCATCCTATAAAGAGCGATGTGAGTTGTCGACAGTGAATATAAAGCAGAGATGTAGAACTAGATGATCTATGACCAAACTACCCCCATTCAATGTAAAATATTTACAACTTCACCTGTGTAGCACATTTTGACCCATAAGGGATAGAATTGTAATTTCACCAGTGGCTAAAAACCAACTTCCCATATATCTTTAAATACAAAAATCAACTTTTAACTTTTGTTACAAACCTAAAAAAGTGACTAAAAATCAAGTTCCCAAAACCCTCATGAGGAGTTTCGCATTAGAAACTTGTTTTGGGTTGATGCAAGGAGTCGGGCTACGTATGAATCATTTGGAGATGTTGTTTCATTTGACACAATTTATCTGACGAACAAATATGACCTACCATTTGCTCCATTTGTAGGAATTAATCACTATAGACAGTCTATTTTGCTTGGTTGTGGATTGTTATCTAGTGAAGACACCGACACATTTGTTTGGCTATTCAAGTCATGGTTAAGTTGCATGTCAAAAATCCTCCAAAAGCTATCATAACTGATCAGTGCAGAGCTATGCAAAATG